TCTCTCTCTCTCTCTCTCTCTTTCTTTCTTTCTTTCTTTCTTTCAACGTTTTATGAAGCTACAATTCACATACCGTACAATTCAACCATTCAACCTGTATGACACAGCGGGCTTTTCATGTATTCGTAAGAGTTGTGCATCCATCACAACTTGAGGACATTTTTGTTAACCCCCAAAGAAGCTCTGCACCCCTTATCTGTCACTCAGTCGTACCACCTGCTTTCATGGTCATACCTTTGTCCTTGTCATTTACCAGTAATGACATTCCCTCCGAACTTTGTTTTTATCATACCATGCTCCTTTTCCCCATCAACTGCATTGAAAAACTTTCAAGCCTGCCCACCAACAATGCATTGATCCTGTTACCCTTTCATTACCTCTGGCTCCCCCCACCTTGCCCTCCCTTCCCTCTTTCCCCTGCTGCCACTATTCCATGGGACACCAATAAAATATCTCCCTTTGGGGCACCTGGGTGGCTCAGTCGGTTAAGCGTCTGCCTTCGACTCAGGTCATGATTCCAGGGTCCTGGGATCGAGTCTCCCTGCTCAGCTGGGAGCCTGCTTCTCCCTCTCCCTCTGCCCCTCCACCCTGCTCATGCTCTAGCTCTCTCAAATAAATAAATAATATCTTTTAAAAAAATTCCTCACTTTCCTGTATCTTTTTTAGATTTTTTTAAATGTTTATTTATTTATTTGAGAGAGAGCGAGAGAGAGAGCATGAGCAGGCGGGAGGGGCAGAAGGAGAGGGAGAAGCAGACTCCCCACTGAGCAGGGAGCCTGATGCGGGACTCGATCCCAGAACCCTGAGATCATGACCCAAGCTGAAGGCAGACGCTCAACCGATTGAGCCAACCCAGGTGCCCCACTTTCCCATATCTTAAAACTCCCTTGACTATGACCCCCTCCAGGCCACTGTTGTAGTCAAACTCTAACCCTGGTAAATCCTTCTACTCTGTGCCTCCCTGCGGGGTGGGGGGCAGGGGGGACCCTACATCCCAGCCCCGCCTGCAACCCTGCTGCATGTCCCTCATCAGTGTACCCTCTGCTTCCCCAAGCTGGAAAAGGCAAGCAAGGAAACGAATTCTCTCCTGGAGCCTCCCTCCAGAAGGAACACAGCTCTGCCGTAGGCCACTGGCCACCAGAACAGAATGAGAATAAATATGCATTGTTTTAAGCCACTAAATTTGTCCTAATTTGTTACAGCAGCAATAGGAAATAAACAGATTCTTCCATTCCTCCGTATCATTCCCTTCATTCCCACCTTATAATAACATCTTCGTTTGTTACTTTATTTTTTTTAAGATTTTATTTATTTGAGGGGCGCCTGGGTGGCCCAGTCGTTAAGTGTCTGCCTTCAGCTCGGGTTGTGACCCCAGGGTCCTGGGATCGAGCCCTGCATTGGGCTCCCTGCTCGGCGGGAAGCCTGCTTCTCCCTCTCCCTCTCCCCCTGCTTGTGTTCCCTCTCTCACTGTCTCTCTCTGTCAAATAAATAAATGAAATATTTTAAAAAATAAAGATTTTATTTGAGAGAGAGAGCGCGTGCATGCGATTTGCAGGGAGAAGCAGAGGGAAGGGAGAAGCAGACTCCCTGCTGAGCAGGGAGTCCATCATGGGGCTCGATCCCAGGACCCCAGGATCATGACCCCCTAGCAGAAGGCAGCCATTTAACTGAGCCACCCAGGCATCCCACGACCTCAAAATTTTTGAAGAATACTGGTCATTTATGTTGTTGCCTGCCTCTCCATTTGTTTATCTGGTGTTCTATCGTGACTGGATAGAGTTTATAGAGGGGTTTTTTTGGGGGGGGATACCACAGAATTGAAATTCCCTTCTCATCATAACATATTGGAGGCACATGATATGTCTTACTGCAGGTGATGGCAACTTGGATCACTTGGTTAGGGTAGTATCTGCTGGGTTTCTCCACTGTAAAGTTATTATTTTCTGTCTGTAATTAATGAACATTTGGGGTAGCCATCTTTTTTGTTCCGTCAACTTTACTGAGGTTGAGTTGACATACAATAAAATTTACTCTTCATGGCCAACATCTACAGGGTCAAGTAACTGCCAGTACAAATCAAAACACAGGAAAGTGCTAGCACTCCTTGAAAGTTGCCTCCAGCCCTGCTCTTTGTAGTCAACTGCTTCCCTACTTCCAGCTCCTGGAAACCACTGCTCTGTTTTCTCCCCCCTGCCCCATCCCTACAGTTTTGCTTTTTCTAGAATGTCAAATAAATGAAATCATACAGTCCAGAGCCTCGGGAATCTGGCTTCTGTTGCTTAGCATAATGCATCGAAGATTCATTCCTATTGTGTCGATCAGTCAGAACTATTCCAAGCCATGGACGGATGCTCATTTGTTATTCCATTCGTTTGAGTTCTATTTCGTTTTTTGGCGATTATGAATAAAGCTGTAATAAAAATCCATGTATCTGGTTTTGTGTGAACATGTTTTCAGGTCTCTCGAATTATTAGCTAAGAATGGGCTTGCTGGGTTGTGTGATAAGTGGATGCTTAACTTTTTTTTGCCATCAGGAGACAATTGTGTCATAAGTTGTGCTATCTTAATATCTTTTTTCTTTTAAAGATTTTATTTATTTGACAGAGAGAGCGCACAAGCAGGGGGAGCAGCAGAGGGAGAGGGAGAAGCAGGCTCCCCATTGAGCAGGGAGCCCGATGCGGGGCTGGATCCCAGGACCCCCGGGGATCATGACCCAAGCCGAAGGCAGACGCTTAACCCTCTGAGCCACCCAGGTGCCCCAGGAGAACACTGTAAAAGAAAACTTGCTGGGCGCCTGGGTGGCTCAGTCGGTTAAGCGTCTGCCTTCGGCTCAGGTCATGGACTTGGGATACAGCTCCTTGTTAGGCTCCCTACTCAACGGGAAGCCTGCTTCTCCCTCTCCCTCTGTCCCTCCCTCCCGCTCGTGCTCTCTCTCTCTCTCAAATAAATAAATAAAATCTTAAAAAAGTAAAAATAAGTGAAGAAAACTTTCTTTCTACCCTTAGCAAATACAGGAGAGCTTGAATCTGCAAGTCAGAGCTAGAGAGTTGGAGCTATGCCACATTGGAATAGATGCTTTCAAGACGAACATATTGATAAGATAGTAAAGAAAGATGCTGATAAAGTTTTCTTTCTTTTTAACAATATTTTCTAATTCCAGTTATTGGCAAAGAGTTCTGGCATCAGTGAGTGGCAGCAACACTGTGGCGAGCATCTGCATTGCGTGGAGATGTAGATTGGGACTTCATCCTTGGATTTAATAACAAGCTAATGTTAAAATCTTCTTTAAACTTGGCATTTTGAACTAATTTCAGACTTACAGAAAAGTTGCGAACATAGCAGAGTTCCCATATATCCTTCACCCAGCTTCCGCAAAAGTCACCTTCTTCCATAACCATAGTACAATTGTTTGTTAGGAAATATAATACTATTAACCAATAATTCCACAAACTTTACTTGAATTTCAACAATTTTCCACGAATGTTCTTTTTCCGGTTCATGATCTAATCCAGGATCCCATGTTGCATTTATTTGTCTCCTTAATATCCTCTAGGAGTTTTTTGTTTTGTTTTGTTTTGTTTTTGCTTTTTTTTTTTTTAAAGATTTTATTTTATTATTTATTTGAGAGAGAATGAGAGATAGAGAGCACGAGAGGGAAGAGGGTCAGAGGGAGAAGCAGACTCCCCGCCCAGCAGGGAGCCCGATGCGGGACTCGATCCCGGGACTCCAGGATCATGACCCGAGCCGAAGGCAGTCGCTTAACCAACTGAGCCACCCAGGCGCCCTTGTTTTTGCTTTTTAAGCAAGCTCTGTACCTAAGGTGGGGCTTGAACTCAAAACCCGAAGATTCAGAATCTCATGGGATCTGGGCACCTGGGTGGCTCAGTCGTTAAGTGTCTGCCTTTGGCTCAGGTCATGATCCCAGGGTCCTGGGATCAAGTGATCAAGTCCCACATTGGGCTCCCTGCTCGGCGGGAAGCCTGCTTCTCCCTCTCCCACTCCCTCAGCTTGTGTTCCTGCTCTCGCTATCTCTCTCTCTCTCAAATAAATAAAATCTTAAAAAAAAGAATCAGGGTGCCAGGGTAGCTCAGTCGTTGAGCATCTGCCTTCAGCTCGGGTCATGATCCCGGGGTCCTGGGATCGAGCCCCACACTGGGCTCCCTGCTCAGCGGGAAGCCTGCTTCTCCCTCCCCTACTCCCCCTGCTTGTGTTCCTTTTCTCACTGTGTCTCTCTCTGTCAAATAAATAAATAAAATCTTAAAAAAAGAATCGCATGCTCTAGCAACTGAGCCAGGCAGGTGCCGCCCCCCCCCCCAGGATTTTTTTCTTTTTAAGATTTTATTATTTATTTGAGAGAGAGAGTGCAGAGGGGAGGGGCAGGGGAGGAGGGAGAAGAGGGAAAGAATTCGAAGCGCACTCTGCACTGAACACGGAGCCTGATGTGGGGCTTGATCCCATGACCCGAGATCATGACCTGAGCCCAAACCAAGAGTTGGATGCTCAACTGACCCAGGTGACCCTAGGAGTTATTTTTATTATTTTTATTTATTTATTTATTTTTAAAGATTTTATTTATTTGACAGAGAGAGACATAGCGAGAGAAGGAACACAAGCAGGGGAATGGGAGAGGGAGAAGCAGGCTTCCCGCTGAGCAGGGAGCCCGATGGGGGGCTCCATCCGAGGACCCCGGGATCATGACCTGAGCCGAAGGCAGACGCTTAACGACTGAGCCACCCAGGCGCCCTCTAGGAGTTATTTTTAACTTCTTTCCTTTCCATACACTCTAATACCACTCTTATAGTGACTGGGTGAGCTCCATCTTCACAATTGAGAGAGAGAGAATGAGAGCGAGCACGAGAGGGAAGAGGGTCAGAGGAAGAAGCCGACTCCCTGCTGAGCAGGGAGCCCGATGTGGGACTCGATGCCGGGACTCCAGGATCATGACCTGAGCCGTCAGGCAGTCGCTTAACCAACTGAGCCACCCAGGCGCCCCTCCCTGTTTTCCCTTCAGCCCCTTCCCTACATTCTTTCTGTCCATAGCCAGTGAAGTGATCTTTTAAAAATCTTTTTAAAAAGTATGTCTTCCTGATCAAAACCCTTTAGTGACTTCCTCTTTCATTTCAAATAAAATCTGCCCTCCCCGCCATGTAATACTTGACTGCAGGCAAGGATCACCCATGGCTGGTGAGAGATAGCTGGGAAACAGAGTATTTGCATGGTGGCAAAGTTTCACTGCCCAGATTACCTTTAGAAGGAAAGATCTGGCAGTTAGGTCCTTGACCAGGTGGCCAAACTCAGCATCATAATAGTGGGACCATCTAACATTAGGCACCTCCAAATGTGATGCAATATAAAGTTCACAGTATCACTAGGGAAATGTTCTTTCCAAAAATGCTTAACTTCAACCTACTCAAAACTTCAGACTCAATTTCCATTTTACAGGCGAAACAGGGTTAGTGGAACAAACTAAACACCATGAGGAAACAATCAGACAAATCCCAAATGTGGGACATTCTACTGGAAACTGGTCCAAACTCTGGGAAAAACCAACAACATAACAAGAAAAAAAAAGTGTGTGTGTGTGTGTGTGTGTGTGTCTATTCAATATTAAAAGAGACCAAGGCAACCAAATGCAATGCGTGAAACTTGATTGGCTCCTGGCTTGGGTTAAAACAACATATTCTTGGGTCAATTGGGAAAATCTGAATATGGGCTGGCTGCATAAACTTTCCTAGGGCTTAAAATAATTTTGTGGTTATGTAGGAGAAGGTCCTTATTCTTAGGAGGCACCTGCTGATGCATTTAGAGTGCCACAGCAATTACTTTCAAATGGTACAGGAAAAATACATGAGTAAGGCAGGTTTAGCTTCATTTTCTTTAAACTTTTTGTTTTGAAATAATTTTAGAATTACAGAAAAGATCCAAAAAATAGCGCATTGTTCCACATACATACATAAATAAAACAAAGGTCAAAATATTTTTAAAGTATGTGCTTTCAGGGGCACCTGGGTGGCTCAGTCATCAAGCGTCTGCCTTCGGCTCAGGTCATGGTATTGAGCCACGCATCAGGCTCCCTGCTCCGCGGGAAGCCTGCTTCTCCCTTTCCCACTCCCCCTGCTTGTGTCCCCTCTCTCGCTGTCTTTCTCTCTGTCAAATAGATAAATAAAATCTTTTAAAAAATAAAAAATAAAAAAGTATGTGCTTTCATATTAGATGTTTCTTGAACCATGAAATTAGTTATTTAAATTTTGTAATAACTGCCGTAATTATTATTAAACAGGCCATCGAGTCTATCCAAACAACTTACACAGCACTTAACTCCTTACAGATCTACAGGGCCCTAAGTAACACGGCTGCCAGCTCTTGGATCTCATGGCCAACAACCTGGGATTCCTGCCATCTGTCCTAAATCAGGGCCTTTGCACTTGCTCTTCACTCGCCCAGATCTCCCTTCCATCGGATCGGATTTCACCTCTTCAGACGAACCTTCCATTATCCCCTTTTCTAAAATAGCACCACTCTCACTGCCCAAGCCCCTTACTCGGCCTTATTATTATTTTGTTTTAAGTAGGCTCCACCCCCGACCTGGGGCTTGAACTCACGACTCTGAGATCAAAAGTCACATGCTCTACCGACTCACTCAGCCAGGCCCCCTATTCTTTATTTTGCTGGCCGCTCTCCGAAATTCATTCCTTTTAAATGCCTTTATCGTGTCCCCCAGTACAATGTAAGCTCCAAGAAGAAAAAGACTTTGCCTTAGTCATGTACTAGATCTGCAGAGCCCAAACAGTGACCAGCGTACCTCGCCCACTGGGTGAACAGTTACTGATTTAACAGGTTAGGCTTCAACGTAATGACACTATTCACGGAGGGACTCTTTGGCAGGCGGCGGAGGGGTATTTTACCGTACACGACAATACACGCATGCGTACAAGATCCGGGAAGTGTGGTAGGGGAAAGGGGCGGAGCATCGAAGGGTCTCGCGCTTAGAGGCGGTTGGAGCCGAAGGCGCAAGGTGTCCAGGGCTGCCGCTTGGTGCGTTACCCGCGTGCGCACTGCGGCCTGCAGCCCACCTCGGCAAAGGAGTTTAAGGTGCCCGGGGGCGAAGAAGTGACCCGGCGCGTGCGCAGTGCCCGCGGCGACGCCGGGTCCCTGTGTGTGGGTTGTGCTTAATCGTGCGGCGCGTGCGCAGCGCGGACGGCGGAGGGATTTTGAGACTTGTTCCACCCCTTGCCCCTGTCGCGAGCCGAGGCCGCGCGGGCTCGTGAGCAGCGGCCTGGTGCGTGCTCTGGGCGGGCGACGAAGGCAGACGGACGCGGACGCCGCCGGAGTCGAAGGCAGACCAGGAGTCACTGCTGCTGAGGGGCCGCTGCAGCCGCCGCGAGCCCCCGGACCGTCGCCAGGCCGAGGAGGGCGCCGCGCGGCGGGTGAGTGCGACCGGGTGGCCTTACCGGGTGCGGAGCCGCTACCCACAACCCCCTGCGGTGGGCCCCAGTCCTTTCCCCGCGGCCGGGCCTCCTTCCCGCGCCACCGCACCTCTCTGCACCCCTTACCCAGAGTCCTCTGGGCACCTAGGCCCTCTTTCCGCAGCTCTCCCGGGGTCCCTTACCCACAGGCCCTTGCGGCGTGTTACCTTGTTCTCCCTTGCCTCCGCGGCGGCCTCGACCCTTACCCACAATTCCTTTCGTCTGTGGGGGGCCTGGCTCTGTTACCCACAAGCCCCTGGCTCGAGGGGTTGTTGCTTCTGAGCCTCTTCCCTTGATCCGAGACTTCCTGCGACTCCCGCCCCCATAACCTGTTCTCCAGGGTGTGGGGACCCCCCCCCAGCCGCCATTGCTTTGCACCTCCGTCGTAAGGATCCTTGAGTCCCCCGCACGCTCCCAGGGAACCTCTCCGCCCCACAGCTCCTTGCTCGCGACTCCTAACAACTACTCAGAAACT